CTAGGCAGTGTAATTCAGCTTCCTCTAAGTCATCACCTTCCAGATGTGTTGGTGTGATGAAATGTCTAACAGACACAGGGAAAGCAGAAATGGAATCAGGGCCTTAGAGCAACTGCTCCTTCATTACACTAGATACTAGATATAGGTTGAGCAGAACTGCTTTGATAGGCTTTCAAAATTCTGTTTCATTACCCTACTAGCAGTACAGTTCTTTCCAAAAATCTAAGTTGTTCTTGTTTCCTAAGTTTCCAGCCTTCCAGGGTTTGACATCAATCTTGAAAGCCATCAGAAAGGCAACGGATCCTGCATTATGGACTTGGGAAATAGTTTCTGATCTTCAAGGTACCATTGTTAGCAGGGCAAGTAGTGGAGTAGTAGTTGTTGCAGCATAATCAGTAGGTAAATATTACAAAATGCTGTGATGCAGTTAGCACAGCATTTGGGCCAATGAAGCCCAAGGGGCTACTGCACTGTCAGTTAAATTCCATTCTGGAAACCTGCTTGAGAAGTCAGGGCCAATTCCTAATTTTCACTATTCATTGTGAATTGTCTGTGCCAGGGAGGCCAGCAGAGTTCCCTACAGATTAGACAGAGGTGGCATTCTTTCTCAGCCTTTTGAAAGGAGGAGCAGACAGATGGGCAGTTCTACTCACTGAAAGCAACAACACCATGCTAGAGTGCTATCAAGATTTTATGCAGAAGTTCAGAGCTACAGTGGGGCAAAAAAGTATTTAGTCAGCCACCAATTGTGCAAGTTCTCCCACTTAAAAAGATGAGAGAGTTTGACCTCTGTCATTGCCAACAAAGGATATATAACAAAGTATTGAGATGAACTTTTGATATTGACATTCTTTCTCAGCCTTTTGAAAGGAGGAGCAGACAGATGGGCAGTTCTACTCACTGAAAGCAACAACACCATGCTAGAGGGCTATCAAGATTTTATGCAGAAGTTCAGAGCTACAGTGGGGCAAAAAAGTATTTAGTCAGCCACCAATTGTGCAAGTTCTCCCACTTAAAAAGATGAGAGAGATTCTTTCTCAGCCTTTTGAAAGGAGGAGCAGACAGATGGGCAGTTCTACTCACTGAAAGCAACAACACCATGCTAGAGGGCTATCAAGATTTTATGCAGAAGTTCAGAGCTACAGTGGGGCAAAAAAGTATTTAGTCAGCCACCAATTGTGCAAGTTCTCCCACTTAAAAAGATGAGAGAGATTCTTTCTCAGCCTTTTGAAAGGAGGAGCAGACAGATGGGCAGTTCTACTCACTGAAAGCAACAACACCATGCTAGAGGGCTATCAAGATTTTATGCAGAAGTTCAGAGCTACAGTGGGGCAAAAAAGTATTTAGTCAGCCACCAATTGTGCAAGTTCTCCCACTTAAAAAGATGAGAGAGATTCTTTCTCAGCCTTTTGAAAGGAGGAGCAGACAGATGGGCAGTTCTACTCACTGAAAGCAACAACACCATGCTAGAGGGCTATCAAGATTTTATGCAGAAGTTCAGAGCTACAGTGGGGCAAAAAAGTATTTAGTCAGCCACCAATTGTGCAAGTTCTCCCACTTAAAAAGATGAGAGAGATTCTTTCTCAGCCTTTTGAAAGGAGGAGCAGACAGATGGGCAGTTCTACTCACTGAAAGCAACAACACCATGCTAGAGGGCTATCAAGATTTTATGCAGAAGTTCAGAGCTACAGTGGGGCAAAAAAGTATTTAGTCAGCCACCAATTGTGCAAGTTCTCCCACTTAAAAAGATGAGAGAGATCCTCTTCTGGATCATCCAAATGCTCTCTAGCTCTCTCATCTTTTTAAGTGGGAGAACTTGCACAATTGGTGGCTGACTAAATACTTTTTTGCCCCACTGTACCTTTGATTGGGAGAGCAACTGTGATTGGGAGATTCATAAATTGTGACAAGAAGGATGCTGAGTATGTGAGTACATAACATATTTTCAGTTGTATGTCAGCAGTTTCCATTGGAATGATTTTGCAGTATCAACCAGTTTCAGGAAGGCTGACCTGAGAAATGAATTAGTGAGATAAGGCGTGCCAGAGACTTTGGAAGAGCTGTTTCAACATTGTGCGGTGACAGATGGGAGAGTTGAGGCACGAATAGTTGAAGGAGATGGTTTCACAGCCTTTCTTCACCTATTCCCTCCCTCCTGATTGTCTTCTCGGATGCCGGTGGCTTGGAGCCTGTGCAGATAAGGGCAATGAAGAGATTCTTCTGCAATGGAGAAACAATGAAGATGCAACCTCACTGTTTTTGCTGTGGCACCTTTGGACACCTAGTGGTGGCTTATTCAGCTAAATTTCCTTGACCTGAATCAGATGGAAAGTGTTGCACCTGTGGAATGTTGGGTCATCTCATGAGTAAGTGCCCAAGTTGCTTTAAGGTCTTGACTCAAGGAAACTTCACAGTCTCCCCAAAGAACTCTGCAGGTCTCCCCTCAATTAAGGAGAATTCCAACATGTGACACTAAGCAGTTGCATTTTATTATCCTTTGCATCCCCACACCTCAGCTCTTTTGGACTTGGGGCGAGTACTAATTTCATTGATGAGGCCATTATAAGACAATTTGTCTTGCACACATAAGTACTGGGAAGGCTTATGCAAGTGGAGATGATTGATGGTAGATCCCTCCAATCTGAGAAAAAATCACTACCAAAAATTATTGCAACTGTATTTGACTGCTTTCTTGCATGTCCAAATTGCTTTGGAGAGAGACTGGGTACAAATGCATAATCACAATATTTACTGGGACTACCTTTCCCCTCTCAACATTGTAAACAGCACCTTTTGCAAACATTTGGCATATTTTCCTATTATTCTTACCTCACAGCAGCTTGAACCTGCTACCTGTGGCTTGAGCAGGAACTATGAGCCTAGGAAGATCCCCAAATTGTACACCAATTCCAAAGAGGCAGTGCAGTCTCATTCAGAACTAAAGATGGAACCACTACAGATTTGTGGAAGGAGGGGGTCCAGACAGCACAACTACTAAGTCTTGTCAGAGTTGAGCCCAAGCCTGTTCTTCCTCATCTACACCCATAAGTCCTCCAACCAGTGGGACAAATTCTTGATAGCATTACCTGGTTGGCCTGGGGTTGAGATACATAACTGGGTATCATCAGCATACTGATGAGACCAGACCCTGAACTGATGGATGACCTCACCCAACAGCCTCATGCAGATGTTAATCAGGAGTGAGAACATTGAGTTTGAGCCACTCCACATAAGAGGGGCCTCTGATCAGTCTCA